TTTGGACAATTATGAATAAAGTTGTTAGGAACATTTATACACTTTTTGTGGATGTGTATTTTTATTTTTGGGGGGTAAATTCTTAAAGGTAGATATGCTGAGTTATAGGGTTGGTAATTACCATCTTGGATATCAATAATTTCTTTGCTTTTCTTCCGTTTTTATCATGAAAACATGTTTAATTTTGCCCACTTTGTCTTTCATGTTACTGGGACTATGTTTATGTATTTTCCTGTTAACTTGCCTTTTTGCTTTAACCTTGTTTTAGATATTCTAGCATTCAAATACTTATTTTTTTTCCATTAGGACTCTGCAGTCTCTTTTTATCTCAGTTTGTCTTGTCCCATACTTCTTTATTTGTGGTTTTTGAGTTTTGCATTAATTTCTTTAAGTGTGAGAAGCATTTCCTGTGGGTTTTTTTCCTATTTCTGTAATATTTCTCTTTTCAAAGTGGATTCTTCATTAGTGTTTTGCTCTGTTTGTGTTAAACTTACTTGTGTTTGACATTGGCCACTCTGTGTTGATTTGCTTTTTATTCAAACATGGTGTGAGTGGATGTGGTATGGTATGAAATATATTTGGGTTTTTTCCTGGATTCTTGTCACAGAGCACCCGAAACCCTTGGAATTTCCCTGTGATAGGAATGTCTTTTGTTATTCATAATAAGCCCCCTTTGAGCACACCTTAGTTTATACTAATCAGGTGACTTAGGATGGGAGATAGTCTCGTGATGAGGCTGTTCACCAGAAAGACCCAGTGATTGGAGGGGTGGAAGTTTCACCCTCTGATCTCTGGGCAAGGGGAGGAGGGTTATTAGCGATCGTGGCTGTCAAGCTCTATAAAAGCTCTTGAATGACGGTATTTGATGAACTTATCAGGAGGTTCTAGGAGGGCGGCTCACTTGGAGAAGGCATGGAAGCTACGCACTCCTTCCACCATGCCTCGCCCTATGTACCTCTTCATTTGGCTCTTCATCTCTACTTTATAATGTCTTTCATAGTAAACAGGTGAGCGTAAGTGTTTGCCTGAGTTCTGTGAGCCATCCTAGCAAATTAATCCAACTCAAAGAGGGAGTATTGGTAGCCCTGATTTATAGCTGGTTGGTCAGAAGTGTAGATGACAACCTACTACTTGAGATTAGTGTCTGAAGTGGGGAACAGTCTTGTGGGACTGAGCCCTTGATCTGTGAGATCTGATTGTAACTCCAGGTAGAGAGCATCAGGATTGAATTGAATTATAGGACACTCGGTTGGTTTCCCTGTCCCTGTCTCACTTTAAGAAAAACCAGGAAAGGGAGTGGTTGGCTGCCTAGGCATAAATCATGACTCTGATGAAATGATCACAGGTATAGGGCATGGTTTTCAGATTTCTTAGTTCAGTAGCACTTGTCTGAAGTGTGATCAGACTCTGGACATTGATTCACACTAAACTCAGATGAGATTGGTAAATCAGACCAAGAATTCAAATGATTAATAGGACTAAAATACTGTTCTCAGTTGGTCAGAGCAATTTCTTACCATTATTAAATTCTGTTTAAGACAGCTAATGCAGATTAAATGGTTGTTTTGTAAATATTAATAGTATCTTGTCAGAATAAGGACATTTGGGTTGTCTTATAGGAATGCTGTCATCAAGCTCTAGTAGCCTTACACAATATTTTATATTTCCTAGGTTGTTACTGGTATATTAGTGTCATTCAGAAAGGGCACTTAACTTTACCATTGTCCTCTAGACAGAATAAACAGTTCTTTAGTGTATAGCTTTGTGTGTTGGACATTGTGTATCATTCTAAAAACTTCAGTTATTGTATTTCTATACTAAATAAATTGATATGTAAGAGAATAGTTTATCAGTAATACTTAACAAAACCATGTTTTAGATGTGTATTTCTTGTGCAGATTGTCTCACCATTAATATTCTTATTTCAAGCAGCTTTTTAGGATTACTTACCTCCTCCAGTGCTTTGTCAAAGTCCATTTCTGTGTTTGAAGAATACTTCTGCTTCCCATCAGCAGGGAGGCAGCACAGCATAATTAAAGTAACCAACTTTTAATCACACACATTCAAAGCCTGACTCTGCCATTTCCCGGCCTTGTAATACTGGACAAATTGCTGAAACCTGCAGTCTTCAACCCCCAGGCCATGGTCTGGTACTCGGTCCATGGCCTGTTAGGAACCGGGCAGCTCATCACCTCGTGAGTTTCCCCTACATCCCCCAACAAAAAATTGTCTTCCCTGAAACTTAGGAACCGCGCCATGTATGGCGGTCGGGTGAGTGAAGCTTCATCTGTATTTACAGCCACTCAGCTCAGCTGCTCCCCATCGCTGGCATCACTGCCTGAGCTTCCCCCACCTGTCCGTGGAAAAATCTTCCATGAATCCCGTCCCTGGTGCCAAAAAGGTTGGGGACTGCTGGCTTAAGCCTTTTTTGACTTTAGTTTTCTGTTGGTAAAATGGAGATAATTACAACTCTGCAAGAAGAACTAGGAAGAGACTAAATCTAGAGAGATAGGAGGAGAACTAAGAGAAAAGCTATTCTGGAAGCCAAGTGAAATAAATGTTTCTAGGAGGGAGCTATCATCTATATCAAACATTGCTCAGAAGACAGGTAAAAAGAGGTTTGAGAAATGACCATTGGAGATAAGAAGGTGAGGTCACTGGGTTTCTTCTTGACGGTTTTTGGTGGAATGTTGAAAACACTAATTTGAATGGGTTTAGCTGGCAAGAGAAGAATAGGAGACAATGTACACAACTCTTGGGGATTTTTTGCTGCAGAGAGAATGAGAGAAGGGTAGCAGCTGGAGGGAGGAATGGGGTTAAAACTTTTAATTGAGGAAATAATACCATGTATACGTGTGCTAAGGGTTTTTTAGAAAGATGCAGCAGGGAGTTATAACGTGGTGAGAGAAAGCAGAGACTTGCCGGAGTCATGTGCTTGAGTGGACAGAAGGGTGGGAGGGTTTAAGTGCTCAGTGGATTAAGTGCCGAGAGTGAAGGCCGTGGGTCCTTGGTAAGAGCGCATGGATGGGCACGGGTGGCGGTTCATAGAAAGGGCTCTGGCTTTCTGTTTCACTGGGAGAATAGAAGATTATCAGCTGAGAGGGAAGATGGAGGAGTAGGTAGGTATTAGAGGTCCGAAGAGAGAAGTCATGTAGGAGAAGGGGATAGACTAGGAATTTACAGTGTCATTTCTAGGCAGCGTAAAGAGTCCATGTCAGGTGAGTCGGTGCTGACTGACTTGCTTTAAATTCACAGAGTCACAGGTTTTTCTCCACCTGTGTTGAACTGCATAGGTATACAGAGTAGGTGGAGTGTTGGTTAAACTAGGGTTATAGTTTATTTGAAAGAGTAAGATAAAGTGAGACAGGGACAGGGGCTTTGAGAGAATATGCATGGGAGTGATATTTCATTATAACTAAATATTTCAGAATGTTATTTATTATATAACAGACAAGGATTAAAAATAAAAACATAACCACAAGCAAAATGAACAAAATACTTCTTTAATATTTATCTTCAAATTTCTCTGGTTCTCAAAAGTGTCTTTTTACATTTGATTGGTTCAGATTTTAACCAAGTAAGGCCAGTACGTGCGTTTAATTGCTGTGTCTCTTAAATCATTTGTTCCATGTCAGTTTCCTCTCACTCCCCTTTTTCAGGCCATTTTTTTGTTGAAGAAATTAGATATTTTGTCATCCACAACTTTCCGTATTCTCCATCCGGCTGGCTGTATTTTGTTATATTTTTAATTATTTTTTTATTTTTAATTGTAAAATACACATAACATAAAATTTACCATCATATTGAAATGTACGCTTCTGTACTATTAAGTACATTCACATTGTTGTGTCCTGTGGGTATTGTTTTTAACATATTCTTCTAGATCCCTTACTTTCTGTAAATACACTGGTGCCAGATCTAGAGAGGTTTGATTTAATTCCAGTTCAGTTTTTTACTTTTTTTTTTTTTTTTTTTTTGAGACAGAGTCTCACTGTGTTGCCTGGCTAGAGTGCCGTGGCGTCATCCTAGCTCACAGCAACCTCAAACTCCTGGGCTAAAGCGATCCTCCTGCCTCAGCCTCCCCAGTAGCTGGGACTACAGGCATGCGCCACCATGCCCGGCTAATTTTTTGTGTATATTTTTAGTTGTCCAATTAATTTCTTTCTAATTTTAGTAGAGACGGGGTCTCGCTCTTGCTCAGGCTGGTTTCGAACTCCTGAGCTCAAACAATCCGCCCGCCTCGGCCTCCCAGAGAGCTAGGATTACAGGCGTGAGCCACTGCGCCCAGCCAATTTTTTACTTTTTTGGTGAAGGGCCAAGGGCATAAATAGTGTGTTTGTACTTCATATAGCATCTCCTCAGAAGGCACATAATGTCTGGTTGTCCTAGTGATGAGCTTGATCATTTAGACCGATCCATTTAAAAATTTTCCATTGATTTTTTTTTTTCTCCTCTAGTGGTTTTGTTAGCCATTGCTGATCATTGTTCAGATCCATTATTTCATCAGAGCTTATAAAATAATTATTTTCCAATAGTGTAACTCCCTTTGCATTTATTAGCTAGAATTCTGTTAAGAACATTCACTCATCTAGTTTCTGCCAGAAATGCAGGATAAATGCTTGATTCTTTCCTGTTACTTTCCAGTTATCAGGTGACTAAGTTGGTTAATTTTTAGTTAAAATTATGAATTCATGAAGTTCATAATGACTCAATGAATTGTAGTCATTATTGTGATGTTCAAATTGTCTTATTATTGGCCAGTGGAAGCTTCTAAAAGCTGGCTCCTGTCTCCTCCGTAACTGAGCATCCTGGGTAGTGCCTAAGCTTGTTTGTGTTTGTCCTGTCCTGAAGTTAAAATCATCCATTTCTCCAAGGAGCCCCTAGTTCCTTTCAGTGGGATTTAGAGTTCGTAATATGGGTGTCTACTTTAAAAAGGTGTTGTTATTTTTGTTTACTTGGTTCTTCAGAATACCACTTGGTTTCTTTTCTTGATTCAACAGGCATGCCCAAAGAAAAATACGAGCCCCCTGACCCTCGGAGGATGTACACAATTATGTCTTCTGAGGAAGCAGCAAATGGAAAGAAGTCACATTGGGCAGAGCTTGAAATAAGCGGTAAGACATGGAAGCATGAATTTATGGTATGGAAATTAAGATATGGTAGAAAATTAAGTTTTCTAATGCCAATACACAAAAGAAGCAATGATTGTGTTTTACAAAAAAGTGCTAATTTATCTTAGAAACAGGAGGGTTCAATGGAAAGAACATGGTTTGAGTCAAAGTTCAAGACCCATTTGTTGCATATTCTTTCAGTATCCATGTCCTGTTGTACAGTGGGGATAATAGTGACAAGGATGAAATGAAAATTTACAGGTGAAATGCTAGTATGTTAGCTAACAAACCAGTGGTTTGTTCTGATACTTACTTCTCTGATAAGGTGGTATTGAGCTTTTGCTTTATCAAATAATAGATTTCCAGTGGAGTAGGAAATGGCTGGTCTTTATAGATTTTGGGATAGTTTTGTTTCTCCTATTTTCTTCATTTGCTTTTCAGTTTGTGTCTCTGGGGACAGCTTTATTCAGAAACTCAAAATCTTAAAGAGTTTGGAGCAGATCTCAAATTTCCCCTTCACTTTGAATGCCATATTCTAAGACATAGACATATTCATGGAAATATACAAGCCTTCGGACACAAAGATACCCTTTTCCCAGCATCCCTGCCAGTGGGCATATAGTCTCTTTCTAAATATTTCAGAGGTGGTGAAGGGATATTATTACTTTTCAGGGCAAACAATGCTAAAGAAATTTTGTGTTACTGTTGACCTAATATGCTTACCCATACCCTCCTTCCGATTTGCCCTAATTTTTGCCTTCTGAAACAGTACAGAACAAATTTTTTCTTCTTCCGTCTGATTGCTGTTTATTTTTAAAAATTTAATGCAGCAAACATACTGAGCATATGGTATGTGAAAAATATTTTGTCTGGTGCTGGCCCAGGCATATGGAAGAAGATGCATAGATGAAGAAAAACCCCGCAGTCCCTGTCCTTAGGGAGCTTATGACATATTAGGGAGTGAAAGGAAAGTAATACACAAGTGTAAGTAACAGACAAAATAGAGCTACCAAGTCTAGGTATAAAAGTGCTATACAGGAAGCAGAAAGAAAGTAATGATTCCTCCTTTGTTAACTCAAAATTTCCAGTTAATCTATTAAGTGAACTTAAATGCCCTCCTTTGCAACCATAGAAGTCAGTACCCACATGGGTCTCTCCTGTTTTCCCTCTTCTGATTTCTAGGGTGTTGGACTTCATTAGACCAAGTTCAGTTCAGTAAAGTAGGTGTGGTAGTAGACAGTGAAATTTCTCTCTTCTTTCCTCTCTCCTGTTAAATTTGGCCTTCTGTGCCAGGAGCCCAAACAGAAATACACTCTCTCATTTAGTAGTTACTCTCAAAGCACACAACTCTCACTTTTCCCTTTTAATTTCTGCAGGATTGGTATTTAACTATATTTTTCTCTCCTTTTTTCAGCCTGAATTAGCAGTTTGTGAATTATAAATCCTTTGTTTGTAAGGAAGTTTCCCCTATCTTACAGCATCAGGGTAAGCTAGGAAGTACTCACTTAGGTCATTGAGATTTTGTCTGTGAGGCTAAGGGGATTCTTCTTTCTCCCTCCACTTCATGCTGGGAACTCCTTGGCGATCTTGAGTCACTGTTGTCTGCTTACTCTGAAATTTAGGAAGAAGTTCTGTGAAAAAGATACAAAGGAAGAGAGGAGACTCCTCTAAAGTAACCTCCTTAACACGTAGTCATCTTTAACAACCATCCTCATGGAGAATAAACTATTGGTTGACTAGGTCTATACAGTGGGACCTTGTAATTAACAAAGCCACTTAATACGTAAGCTCCTATGTGTAGAAATTGTCTAGGCTGAATTCATTTCACGCTAAGACTGTTATTTCATATAGGTAATTTAGCATCGATTCCTTAGGATCCTGTGATTAAAAAGTTCTCAGGATCTGAGATCACTGAATCCTGGAACTGCAGTTAGCTCCTGTGCTGTTCTGGTTCCAGGGCTTGGGGGTGAGAGTTCCTTGTGCCGTTTGAAGGTAACCAGATAAGCTGGACCATTCTCTATCGTTTACTTTTTTTGTGTGAGACAGAGTCTCACTCTGTTGCCAGGGCTAGAGTGCTGTGGCGTCATCCTAGCTCACAGCAACCTCAAACTCCTGGGCTCAAGTGATCCTCCTGCCTCAGCCTTCCGAGTAGCTGGGACTACAGGCATGCGCCACCATGCCTGGCTAATTTTTTGTATATATTTTTAGTTGTCCAGCTAATTTCTTTCTATTTTTAGTAGAGACGGGGTCTCACTCTTGCTCAGGCTGGTCTCGAACTCCTGACCTCGAGTGATCCTCCTCCCTCAGCCTCCCAGAGTGCTAGGATGACAGGTGTGAGCCACTGCACCCAGGCTCTATCATTTACTTTTTAAAGAGAGCCACCTTCTTTTTTTAATTAAAATGAAGCACAGATAAAGAAAACCAAGCAATATGTTAATGAATTATTATAAGGCCAAAAAGCCTTGTGACCACTATACAGGTCAAAAACTAAAACTTTTTCACTTGCCTAAGAACACTCTCCATATATATACCACAACAGTCACACTACCTACCCTTCTCCCAAAGTAACCATCATCCTGACTTTTAAGTAATTGCTTCCTTGTGTTTCCGTATAGTTTTAACACCAAATTATGTATACCTGAGCATCACAGTTTTGTTCCCCCCACTTTTTGTTTGGTATGGCTTAATTTGCAGGTGTCTCTTCCATCTTTTTCTTTTCCTTACAATTAATGTGTCTGTGGGTGAACCTTTTGTTTCCCCACAGTCTTTTATTTTGCTGATTGCATAGTCATAATGCTGTTTAGCTTGTTCTTCATCCTCAGCATTTCATGCAAATGGGCAGCCGGATCCAGAGGCTTGATCAGACTAAGGTTTAAGCCCTTTGACAGGACTTGAGGTGTTATTTTACAGGTAGTGTTGTGTAGGTGGTGGTGTACTTTTTCTTGAGGAAGCATATAAGGTCCGAATGCCTTTTCTATTGCTGTTCATTGCCTAGGGCTGTTAATTCTTTGAGGGTTGCAAAATAGTGATATTTTAATTTTATCATTTGTTTTTTATTACCTTAGATACATTTATAAAGAGACACTTTCCCTCATTTGCTGATTGATTACCTAATGTACAATTTATATAGGAAAGGCAGGAAAACATGCTTGTTTTTTTAGTTTTGTTTACTAGTTTTTAAGATAAACTCATCTTTTGAAGGTTACCAATTAGAATTTTTTTAAGTATCATTATTAACTAGTATATTTAAACATTTGGGTTTCATACTTATTTGGTGAGTTACAATTATTACCTCTGTTGATACTTAAATTGTCCTGTTGTTGGCTAAGAGAGAACCTCTTTAAATTGACTACTGAGTTCTTCGACAGAACCGTAGTTGTGTTTGGTAGCTCCTTGCTATCTGGCATGACGAGGTTTT